GAACAACACAACATGGAAGTCAGAATGGAAATTAATGAGTTGAAATCAGGAATGGCCAAACTTACTGAGATGATGCAAGTCCTGATTTCCAGAGGAGAGCCACCTCAAAGGACTGTGATATCTGAAATCCCAACTGCTGTTGTTGACACTCAACTTATCCAGCATACATCTACTACATGGCCAGAGTTTGGGTTACCTCAGAACTACTCTCCGCCTGTTGCCATTACTTCAATGGTTGGCCAGTCTTCCCGACCAGTCTTTCAAGCTCCAGTTTTCACTGAACCTCAGCCAATCGTTCATACTGCTTCTCGTCAACCTGTTGCACAAGCTGCTTTTAGGAACCCTCTCTTTGAGTACCATGCTGCCAGTCCTCAAAGTGTGAGTCAGGGAGAATTTGGTGAGCTTGAAGATTTCAAAGAACAATATCAGACTTTGGAGAAGAGACTCAGAGCTATGGAAGGAAATGAGTTCTTCAGTGTTGATGCTAACAACATGTGCCTAGTTTCTGATCTGGTTATGCCTACAAAGTTCAAGACTCCTGAGTTTGAGAAATACCGGGGGCACACTTGTCCAAGAAGTCATTTGGTGATGTACTTTCGAAAGATGTCTGCTTACACCAAGAATGACAAGTTGCTTATCCATTGTTTCCAAGATAGTCTGAGTGGGGCTTCATTCAAATGGTATATGGGACTTGAGAAAGGTCGTATCCAATGCTTCCAAGATCTTGTTGATGCTTTCATAAAGCAATACAAATACAACCTTGACATGGAACCTGATCGTCGCCAACTGCAAAATATGTCTCAGAATGAGAAAGAATCTTTCAAGGAGTATGCTCAACGATGGAGAGAATTGGCATCTCAAGTTGAACCACCTCTGGCAGAGAAAGAGTTAACTGGTTTGTTCATGGATACTTTGTCCCCTTTCTTTTGGGAGAAGATGATTGGTAGTGTGTCTTCCAGCTTCACAGATCTGCTGACTATCGGCCAAAGATTAGAAGAAGGAATCAAGATTGGTAAAGTGTCTAAAGCTGCTGAATCTTCTAATGGTGCAAAGAAATACCTTGGGAACTTTCATAAGAAGAAAGAGGTAGAAGCCAATGCTGTCTTGACTGAGAGAAGAGGACCTCGCCGTAGGCCTCAATACATTGATCAATCACAAGTAGCGGTTGTTACTCCTGCGGTCAATGCTCAACCAGTTCGGGTTCCTCAACAACAGAATATTATGCAGAATCAGAATCGAAATAGGGCCCAGTTTGATCCCATCCCTATGACATACACTGAATTGTATCCTGCATTGGTGCAGAAGGGCTTGATTACGACTAGGCCTCTGATTCCTCGAAATCCTCCTCCAACCGGGTTCAGATCTGACCTTCACTGTGAATTTCATCAGGGAGCTGCCGGTCATGATTTAGAAAGCTGTTATGCATTGAAAAACAGAGTACAAGAATTGGTGAAAACCAATATGCTCACTTTCAAAGAGGCAGGTCCTAATATCATCAACAATCCTTTGCCAAAACAAAGGGGCTGAAGACTGAGTCGGGATACCCTCAAGTCCCTTCCTAAAGCCAGTGTTTCAGACAGGACAACTCATCCTTGTTACTGATTAGTCACTAGGCCATCTTTCTTTCTGTTTGCATTTTCCCTTGTTTATGTTAAAATTGTTGCATTCAAATACTGTTTATACTTTCATGTTAAGTTTAATGAAATGAGCATTGCAATGTTTTGATTCAAATCATTTTTATTTACTGCTTTCAAATATATTTCTCTGGTTTACTCCCTTTATCAAGCTTTTGTTTATGCAAAGATCTGAGGGAGGATGATGAAAACGAAATACCCATAATTGTTGCTGGTATGCTTTCGAATAAAACTTTGCTGAGGATATACAGGCATTGTTTCAACTCCCAAACACTGGAGAAATAAGGAAGTTAATCTCTCGTTCACCCCTTTGAGCCTAGAAGTTGGAGTTTCTTTATATACAAAAAAACCCGCAATCTTAACCTGGGGATGGGTAGTTCTCAGTTAATTTGGCTGTGCATTCAACTACAAGAGAAATCGTGCAAGACACCTTTCAACAAAGGTCACGATCAAGCTTTCCTTTGCACACAACAAGAAGTGTTGAAGATGCTCTCAAACAAATGACAAAGATGGTTCCCCGTAATCATTGAGCAAGGAAATCATTATCTTTCCAAAAAAAGAAAAATGAAATGAAAAGAAAAATCAAAATAAAAATCCCGCTAAGTCAAAACCTCTGAAGGTGACTTAGGCAAAAAACGGGGGCATCCCGCTGACTGTAATTCCAAATGAAACAATTCAGGCAAAAACGGGGGCATCCCGCTGACTGTAATCACAAATGAAACAGTTCAGGCAAAAGTTGGGAATAATAAATTCAATCATAAGAGGTCTTCAAATCCTCAAAATTCTCCATCAGAGTTGGCAAAAGTCCTCAAAACGGAAAAAATGTGTAAGAAGAAATGGCTGTCATTCTCAAGAATCCTTTAGCTTCTGAGCCATCGTCATTGCTTCCATCAGTGCAATTCTAAAATCTCTTGGAACCTGAATGCATATTCTGAATTAACTGAACGTAGGACTGAAGAACATCACGAAGATTGGGTTGGGTACAAATAAACTTTGAGCCTTTATCCTTTATTTCTTAAACCGTGAACCAGACCATGTTACAACCCTCAAAAGACCTAATTGAAGCCATGTTTCTTTTGAAAGCATTTTACAACAAGGTTGCGTAAACTGACTCCTATGATCTTTTGTGAACTATTTGTTTTGGTATCATACCTTTTCTTTCTCTTTCACTTCAAAAGTATAAACCACTGCGTTTTAACCAGTGATACATTTTCTATACACCAATAACATCATTTCAAAAATGATTTTGGATTCAAAACTTTTGCATGAACTTTGCATTAAAATTACCATGTTTGGGTAAACAATTTTTCTTGCAAACAAGCTTTCCTTGTCAAGGAATTTAAAACAGTTGAGAAACTTGGTCAGTGACCCTATCAGGGGCAAGTATCTTCTAGGTCCATTTGCAAATCAGTTCAAGATTTATTGCTCAGTGCGAGTTTTCTCATAATTGGTTAGTCAGAAGATCATTTTCAAGACTCATGCTGGGGCATTCCTTTCCAACAGTTATCTCAAGAACTGAAGCCATGATCAGTTTATTCCCAACAAACATTTCAAGAGCTAAAGCCATGATCAGTTTATATCCAATAGTCATTTCAGAGTTGAAGCCGTGATCAGCTCATTTCCGACAACTTTGGACTGATGCCATGATCAGTTTATCTTCAACAGTCAGCTAATATGGGACAAATCCCCAAGCAGCTCTCCATGTCTTTCCTCAGAAGATCATCAGTTCAATACAGTTTACAAGTGTGACAAATTTTGGTTCAAGACATTTTCTTCCCAAACAATTTGGAAGAGTTCTCTGTGTTGAGGAATCAAACTTCCAATCTTACCTTCACAAAAGAGTCAAACTCCATTATCGTAAACGTCAACATTACACGCATAGATCATTTACATATGATGCATAACAAAATTCACACATAATGCATAGCAAGAGTGTTTCATCCTCATTTGCATTTTCCGAGGTCTTGTTGCAGTCGGCTTGTCACCTTGAGATCAAAGTCCAACTTACTTGGCACCTACCAAAGCAAACATCAATTCAGATCTCTTTTTCCGTCCAAAGCCAGTATTGGATGTTGTTACCTTTTCTGTTGTCCAAAGCAAGTATTGGACGCCTTGTTTTTTCTCTCACCCCATCCAAAGCCAGTATTAGATATTGTGATCTTTTCTCTCGTCTAAAGCCAGTATTAGACGTTGAGTTTTCCCTTCATTCAAAGCCAGCATTGGATGTCGTGTTTCTTTTTCGTCCAGCGTCTTTCCTGGACGACTCTGATGTAGCTTCAGATTTGGTCTCATCCCACATCTATTGTTCTTCTAGATGTTTCTGATTGTCTTTTCCAGAGAGTTGCTCTCCTCATTCAATGTCATTCTTGGATGTCGCTGCTTGCCTTCTCGAATTTTATCTTTTTTTTTCAAGTATTGATGGTTACTCTTTGTCACCCTGACAGATATCCAGAAGTATCTTGTTGTTTCCCTAGCGTGTCTTTCCACGTCATTTCATCTGAACTACCATAAGTTTCCAGTTTTTAGTCTTTCCACATTCCTACAGAGTCTTTCTCATCTCATACATCATTAAAAAAATGTCAAAAAAGAGTTCATGCATTCATTCATAACATATGCTATCATCTCATCGCATCAGGGACAAAATTTAGGTATGTTTGTATTTAATTACTTTCCGCCTAATTGACAGAAAGATAATTAAATAAGGGCACTTGCACTAACACATTTTAGTAGCTACACTAAAAATACTATAGCATCTAATCAATTTTCTTTTTTTTTTTCATTGAAACTTAATTTCACACTAAAGTAAAATGTGAATTCTTATCTATCCAATTCAAAAAGTTGGATAGAATTGCGTTAAATATATTTATGTTTTAGAAATAACAAATAATTATGCTATTTAATAAATAATTTAATATTGAAGTTTATTCTCCATCAAAAGCATCATTCACCAACGCTTTTATGTTAATACTCCTTAACATAATGACATTTGTTAGAGTAAACATAAACACTTCTTCAATATGGATACAACTATTTAATTTCAAGTCAATATTCTTAAAATTTTAAGAAATTTGTTACTCAACATTATATTCATCTCATAAATAGGATTCTCACACCTCTCCTCAAAAGAAATTCCTTATGAAAATTTTCATATTTAATCATGTGTTTTCATTGATCTCAAATTGCATGATCATAGAATAAAGTTTGGTCATAGATCTAAAAAGGTTGTATTTCTTGATTGTAAAAAGGACGTCACAGGTTATATCTTATATTAGTTACCATCAAATAATATTCTAACAAGACTAATAGTCTAAAACTACAAGATAGGGAGATATTACATGTCCCTATAAATAATAAGTACAAACTTACAGCATTACCAAGTTCCTCAAAGTTATAGTTTTAGCAAGGCTGCTATAAAGAAGAGCTGGAGTGAAGACAAAATATACAATCTGTACAATAAAAATGAGTGTTGGAAATTATTAATAAAAAAATTAAAATGAGAATAATATGAAAAATTGGTGTTTTGAAAAACACAAATAAGTGAAACTTACAATATTGAGGTGCTTTTTAGTATTCTTTTTTAGAATTCCAATGTTGTCAAGTGCAAGAACAGCCCCAATAACAGCAATGAACAAAGTGTTCAAAACTGGAGCTAAAGCAACTAAGAAAAGTTTCAAGAAATTCATAATATTGTAATACTCCTATTATGTCAAACAATTCCAGCTTTCAAATAGAGATCAAGTTTATTCAATAGGGTTTTTATATTTCTTTTTTTTAAAGTTAGGCAAGAAGCAAATAATTATTTTGATTATTTTTCAACAATCAATTGGATTTTAAACAAAATGGCTTTAGAGGGATGGAATTAGCCATTTTAGTTTTTATAAGTAATTTTCAAATTTAAGAGTATTTTAAATGATAAAGTAAATTTTAATGATATTTTTCCATTACTTGAGAAAACAGGCTTATTGCTATTATAACTATTTATCTTTTGAGAATAAACTAAAGCCAGTTTTGTGAAAATAATAAAATAATTATTTAATTGTCCTATAAAAAAAAAAATTATCTGACACATTTACATAAACTCTACAATACTTCTAATTTGTATAAATGATGTTAACCATCCTTTTCTAATTTTATTTAAATAACTAAGGTATTTTCTCAGAGGGGATTGGTCTGTTTTTCCAATTTCAGTTCTTTTTACTTATATTTGACAGAATCTTGAAGCCACATGTTCTTTCCAAGCCAAGAATCTAACATATAAAAGATAAGAAATATTATATTACTTAAATCATGAACAAGAATACTTTACTTTCACCAAAGAAACAGATATACTAACTTCCTAGGCCCACATTTTGTCTTGCAATGTACAAATATATGCATTTCTCTTATCATAGTTGCTAGCTTTTGTAATCAATCATTCACACAAAAAATATAAAAACATTATGGGGATGGTCATGAGTTACATGGGAGGAACAGGTATCATGTTCTTTGGTTTTCTACCTTTAATTGCTAACTTATGTCGTAATTTGTTTCTTTATTATTATCTATATAGCACCGACACTTTGTCCGTTATCTCATTTGTGTTATTGTTAGACACCAATGTCGTATTATACTACTCGTTATTTGTTTCAAATTAATGGTTTTGATTTGTTCAACAATTTGTGATATCTTAGGTGAGGGAATAGCCTCCCAAACTTTAAGTCTTGTATCTGGAGCACTCTATGATCAATTTATGAAGAAAGAAATCAAAAACTTTGATGCCTTCCACACTGCCATTCTTGATATCTTCAAGTAAGCATCTCATTTCAATGGAAATTATAATCAATTTTAATTAAATGTAAAACACTTGATATCAATTTTGTTTTTTTGTTTTCTTTTCTTTTCTTCATAGCACTATCAACATGGCCTTGCCTGGCAAGCATTATGATGTACCATCAAACAAGGAAATTGAGGTAAATTAATTCACTATTTCTTCAATCACTTTTATTTTATTTTTAAAAAAATTTGATGCACCTTCCCTTAACAGGACTTTTTTAAGCTATGGAATAAATCAAATGAAGAAGACAAGAACGAAATTTTCACTGATTTCATGATTAAGAATGTCAATATAAGCAAAGTAGATGATTCTATGATGATCACTGGAATAGTTGCACCTCCAGCGGCTATGGTAGCCAAAAGATCAGGACAATCTTTGCCTCAGCTAAGTCTCATGAAATCCATACCTGATGTCATCTTTGTACCAACCGCCACGATTTTGGCTCTCATTGCGGTCAAAGTTACCAAAAGAATGACACTCAAGAAATTGAATCCTATTTAATTTTCAATCCTTATGTAATCGAATGAATAATCTTCAACTACTTGTGATTGTGAAATATTATGTGTGTGTTTGTTTATACGTTTTCATTCAATCAAACTCGCGTTAAGAGTGAACGTTTCGTGTCATTCTTGTCACATTAGACTGACGTGACCAAAAAGTTACTTGACTCAAACTTTATATTGAAAAATGCGAATCCAAATTATTTCTAATACAAAAGATAAATTGACTATTAAATCAAACAAATCAATATAAATAGTAATTCCGCTTAGTCATAACACTAGAGTGTGATGTGTACTTTTAACATATCACTTCATATCAAACACCTGTGTGCGAGATCAAGATTTTAAAGAGACGGAAAAAAATTGATAGACAAACATTTGCAGAATCCATTAGAAGTTGTTTCCATTTCCAACATGTTTGCAAAACAATATTTGAATCAGATTCGCTTTAACCAGATGTCCTTGACCTCTTCTTTTTACTCTTCTTTTTACCAGATATATTCTCGCGTTTCCTTTTGTTTCTAGGGATATTCGATTTTGATGTAGAACATGACTTCAAAGTCGAAAGCCCATTGACATTGTGCACGGCATTGTCTTTGATTGATTCAAGTTGATTTATCATTTCATTTCCAATAATTTCTAATTCATGCAATTCCATTTTGGCTAACTCATGATACTGCGTAAGATCTTCATCGATCTGCATAAAACAACACGCCAACTTTATTAGTTCAAAATTTAAACGAATCATCGCATCAATCAACTCATAAGTATCAGAAATACATTACGAAAAAACAAAGCTTACATAGTCCAATAGACCAAACGGTTGAGGCCTATCAGTGGCTTCAATATCTGGAACAATCTTGTCATCACCTGATGATGCAGTTCCTAGCATAAAATAAACCTTCCATTAGAAACTCGGAGTGAAGTTGAGATAAGAAACGAGTTAAAGTAAATGGAAAATGTAATCGTGTTACCAGCAACAGAATCGGCAGAATCGGCGTTTATGTTAGGCTGATTAAATCCATCCGATGGTTGATTTACAGAACAAAACCTTTCTGAATTTTCACTAAGTACTTTGTCATGTCTAGATTTCAAATTTTGAAGTTGAGACTCCATAGTTATAATCTGTTGAATCATATCATCCCAGGACTTATCATTATCATAATTACCTACACAAGACCATACATCTTCCAACTCGAACTTTAATATATTTCCACGGTCACCACCTGATATCATTAAAACAAAATGTCGATTAAGAAATCGCGAACTCTCACATAAACAAATGACTAAAACATGTTTTTGAAAGAAGTGCTTATACTCAAAAACAAGAAACAACATCATATAATATATACTGCTACTAACCTATGGCAGCTTCATGACAATCTTCCAAAGGATCAACATTACCATTGTAGGAGAATAAAGGATGGTTAGACCCTAAATCGCAATCCTTTTCAACTCTTTCACGCTTTTTCCTCTTCATAACTTTATTCCTATGCCTCCGAAAAGAAATAGGTACTGATTTGATCTCACAGCCATCTAATCTTAAATGTGCATAATCAAATTGCTTTTTATGATCAAGTTCTGCAAGCTCTTTTTCATATTTACGCTCTTGAGACTGAAGTTTTTTCAGTTTCAACTCAATCCACTTGCATTGTGACATAACAGGACTTATGAACCTTCTCCAATGAGCTGTTGTCACCCTTTTCCTTCTGAATGGTTAAATCAATAGAAAAAATAATCATAAACATATAAACTATTAAATTGAATCAAACAACGACAATAAAATCAACATAAAACTTTGTCGAATCTCTATGACATAGATTATTAGTCTCATTGGAATGTAACGCAAAACTTTGTCGAATCTCTGACATAGATTATTAGTCTCGAGTGGAATGTAACGCAAAACTTTGTCGAATCTCTATGACATAGATTATTAGTCTCAGTGAAATGTAACATAAAATTTTGTCGAATCTCTATGACATATTATTAGTCTCAGTGAAATGTAACATAAAATTTTGTCGAATCTGAATGACATAGATTATTAGTCTCAGTGAAATGTAAGATACAACTATGTCGAATCTCTATGAAATGGACGATTAATTAGAGTGAAATGTACCTTTGTCGGAGTGGTTCATCCCAAACATCACACATTGAAGAAGAAGCCGTATCAGCATACATTCGCGATTCGACTTCTGGATCGCGGAAGAAAGCATGATCAGCATTGTCTGTATCACCAAAGGAGCCAGAACTCTCAGCGGCACCTTCAAATGGATCTGGCACCATCGATGGTTCGTCGCACGTCATGATATCAACATATTCATCCTCCTCATTTGGATTGCCCCGATCAATTGGTATCATTCCGGTTTCCCAAGGTTCAAGAAAAGGGGCATTCATATCCTTGAATACGCTATTCATCTCGAAATCCCAGCTCATTTTCGCAAAACCTTCACTGCCAATAAATCATTCAAAAAACACATTATCAATCAATATGTTTATCAAAACTACAGAATTCTTCAGCAATAAACAGATTCCAACAAACTAAAATCAAGAAACAATTTAGACATTATTCATCAATCTAAAAACTACTAACACTGAAACTGTTGGAAATTTGGGCTTTGTTGATGATATAGGTCTTGTTCAAGAAACACGTTGAATTGAATTGATGAAAAGAAAGAAAAAAAAGAATCGTTTGATAGATAAAAAGAGAAGTGAAACAGAAACATATAGAAGTAAGGATCAGAGAGTGAAAAGAGACAGATATAACAGAAACCTTGGCGAAGAAGGAACAAGATTTTAGCATCTAATGTAACGCTTATTTAGAGAATTTGTTTGGGGGTATTTTAGGGATTTAATCACTTGAACTAAATATGTGGAATGTGGCTGTTTGAATTCCGTGTCACTGTAACAGGTAACAAATTATTCTATACAATCTCTCTTAAAATAAATCAAATCAAATTTAAAATGATTTCAGCTGTTTGAATATAAATTAATAAGAATGGTTAAAATAATGAAAATTAATAAATTGTTTTATTCAAGTTAAATTTAATGATTTTGAAATTACACATAAAAGTAAAAACTCAAGCTTGATAGAATGTGAATATTAAATTGAATATTATTATTCTTTTAAATTTTGCAAGTTGATCTTTATACTTTCCAAAATTTAAAAATTAACCCATAAATTTTTTTAAAAATTAAAAATTAATTCTTAATAATTTTCAAATTTTTAAAAATTTGAATTTTCTCTCTATATTTCAAATTTTAAAACTTTAAAATTTATAAAAATAACCCCAAAAGTCTAACATTGATTTATCTCGATACTTTATCTAAAAATATTTAAAAATAAATAAATTTCAATTAAATTATTTAAATTTCTCAATTTTAAAATAGTTAAAAAAATTAATTACCTTATCCAAACACTCTAATATTTATTTAAATGAGTTTGTTTTCTATTTTTTTATTCTTCTTTTGAAAATGTTTCTACGTTCACAATTATTTATCATAGTATACAAAAGTATAATAAAAATGGATATAATTTGGTAAAACTCTTTTAATTGAATTTAAAGTTTTAATACTTTCCCTAAAAAAATAAAGCATATTTAAATAGAAGCATTTTCTAGGAACATACACCAACAGTCAGTAGTAGATTTTATTATGTTTGGACATCTAGCCCAATCAGCATCGCTATATGCTTGAAATTTGATTGATGAATCAACAGGAAAAAATAAACCACACTTTAGAGTGTCAGGGAGGTACTTAATGATTCGTTGCACCGCTGAAAGATGGAAATGTCGTGAAGCTTGCATGAACTTACTAACTGTGTGTACAGTAAAAGAAATATCTGGGCGAGTGATAGTTGCATAGATAAGACTTCCTACCAGTTTGCGATATTGAGTGGGATCATCAAGAAGGTCACATTCATTTCTTCTATATTTAACATTAACTTCCATGGAAGTGTCTACAAGGGCTGCATTTGTGAGTCCAACTAGTTAGATCAAGTCTTGAATATACTTTTGTTGATTTAGAAAAACACCTTCATGATGATAATGCACCTCTAAACCCAAGAAATAAGTGAGATGGTCTAACTCTTTCATTTGAAAAGTTGAATGCAACAAGTGTTTGATTCTAGAAATACCATCTTGATCAGAACTTGTCACGACAATGTCATCCACATAAACAAGAAGCACCACTATGCCTTTAGGAGTCCTTTGTAGAAAAAGAGATGGATTATACTGACTTTGATTGAATTCAAAACCAAGTAATATCGATCGAAACTTTTCAAACCAAACTCTTGGTGTCTATTTTAATCCATATAAAGAGCGTTTTAGTTTGAAAACAGTATTGGGTGAAGGTGTAGGCATGCCACTAGGAAGTTTGATGTAAACTTCTTCTTGAAGATCACTATGGAGAAATGAATTTTTAACATCTATTTGATGCAGTGGCCAAGTTTGTGACGCAACAATAGCAAGAATAGTGCATACGGTTGTCATCTTGGCAACCGGAGCAAACGTCTCATCATAGTCAAGTCCATATTCTTATTTATTTCCAAGCACAACTAAACGAGCCTTGTATCGAACTACGGATCCATCCAAATGCAGATTTATGGAGAACACAAACTTGTTGCCTAAAGGTTTAATAGATGAGGGACATGGCACTATATCCCAAGTTTGATTTTCTTCCAGAGAAAGAAGTTCTGTTTCAATAGCTTTCTGCCAACAATTATTCTCCATGACCTATTTATAAGATGAAGGAACGGGAATAGAAGTTAATGATGTTGTCATGCAATTGATATACCTTTCTGGGATTTTTTATCGATGAGCTACGTCGTAGAGGAGCTGGTTCTGGTTCTTCTTCTACTGGACCAATAATCAAGGAATTATCTTGAAGGGGCCCATTCGTTGGTTGATTTTGAGTGGCAGTACTACGTCTTTTGTAGGTCAAGAGAGATTTAGAGGGTTGTTGACCTGGATGAGAGTTAGAAAAAAATGGAAAAATAGAAACTGGAGAAGAGACGAGGTCATGATTATTTATATATATATATATATATATATATATATATATATATATATATATATATATATATATATATATATATATATATATATATATATATATATATATATATATATATATATATATATATATATATATATATATATATATATATATATATATATATATATATATATATATATTCTTGGAAAATGACATTTCTAGATACACTAATCCTACGAAGGTTAGGATCATAACATAGAAAGCCTTTTTGATGAGTAGAATATCCAAGAAAAGCACATTCAACAGATTCTACCGTGAGCTTGGTTTGTTCTTGTGGAGTAAGATGAACATAACACACACAACTGAAGATACGAAGATTGGAGTAATTTGGTGGGTGGCCATATAACCAAATGAAAGGAGATTCGTTACCTATTGATGGCGATGGCATTCAGTTTCTAAGATGGATAGCCGTGGAAAGGGCTTCACACCAAAAATGTGAAGGCACTTGAGACTCCAACAAAAGGGTGCGGACAACATCGAGCAAGTGGCGGTTTTTTCTTTCCGCTACTCCATTTTGTTGTGGAGTTGAGGGGCATGACCTTTGAGATATAATGCCATTGAATTGCAAATATTCCTGAAATGAGTGTGGCATGTATTCCCCTCCATTGTCAGAGTGAAATATTTTTATTTTTTATGAAAATTGAGTTTGAACATAAGCGTGAAAAAATTTGAAAGTGGAAAAGACTTCACCTTTTGATCGCGAAAAGTAGACCCACGTGAAGTGACTATAATCATCAATAAAAGTTATAAAATATTTGTAATTAGCATGAGATATAATTGGTGCCACGCCCCAAACATCATTGTGGATGATATCAAAAAGTTGGGTTACATTAGACTGATGTGTCAGAAAAGGAAAAAAGTTTACTTTTACTAAGCTTACAAGGAATACAATCAAAATGAACAGAATTAAGAGATGGAATGTGTTTATTTTCAAGAAAACTAGATTTTAGCAAGTCATAAAGTATACTTGTGTTTGGATGTCCAAGACGCTTCTGCCACACTTGGTAATCAACAATAGCAGAATTACACGAAACTAAAGGCAGACAAAGACTTGGAGGCAGTGAGAACTGAATTGGGAAAAGACATCTAACTTTAGGCCCCTTCGCGATTATCTTCCCTGATTGTTGGTCATGCACAAGACAACCAGGTTGTGAGAATTGTACTTGACAATCATTCTCGACTAATTAACCAACTGAAATACTATTACTAGTGAGACCAGGAGAGACAAAAACATTTGTTAGAGATTAAGAAATATCACCAGTGGCTGTGATAGGCAATTGATTTTCATCAGCAGTATGTATCTTGAAATTTCCAAAATATTTTTTGATATCGGTAAGAAATTGGGCATTATTGGTCATGTGGTTGGAAGCCTCCGAATCAAAGTACCAAGAGGAAGAGGATTTACCTGAGAATCCTAGAGCAGAGAATGCTGAAACGGTCATTTGTTGAACCATTTCAGGGGTCACCGTTGAAGTAGTAGTATAAGTATTTTGTTGGATTGGCTGAATTGTTAGGAATAGATGAATCAGTCGGGACTATTAAAGCTGTGACATTTCTCTTTGGTGGCCTTATTGGGCATTCCTTAAGAATATGTCCATCTTTTTTGCAATAGTTGCAAAAAAAAATTGGACAGTTTGAAGCATAATGTCTCAATTTCTTGCAATAGAAACATTGAACAACACTCTTGTCATAAATTCTTGATTTTCCTCGTACTACATATGCCACTGGAACAGTAGACAATTTTTTATCTTCAAAGTTGGACTGCATAAGGAGACGTTGTTCTTCACGCAACAAATCATTGAAACACGCATCCAATGATGGTACAGGGTTTCTATGCGTGAGATTGGATCGAATGCCTTCAAATTCAAATCTCAATTTCATAAGAAATTGAACTCGTTTATTAGTTTCATGAACAAATTGTACATAACTTAGACCTTCAGGAATCAAGTTTGCATAAACTATATCAGTGTATTCAGCCCATAGGTTCATGAGTTGAGAGTAAAAATCAGAGATGGAGAGACTATCTTGTTTAAAGAGAGCTATGTCGTGTTCAAGTTGGAATCTTCGAGCGACGTTGTTCTAATGGTAGACTTTCTTCAAATAATTCCACATTGTAGCTGCTGTTTTGTAAGGTCGAAGATTCAGGACTATGCTGGAGTGTTACCATCGATATGACCCCACAAATCTTTTTCTGTAACAAAAACTCGAAATGAAATGCCTAAGCTGAGTAGTTTTTGCCATTAAGGCTAACCAACAGGACTCCATGCTTTTCGATAGACATGGAACTACAGAATAGAAATTAAACAAGAACAAAAAATAGATGTGAAAAAACGATAACAAGAATAAAAGGGAAACAAGATCATGAAAGAAAAAACAAACTA